CAACATGCAACTAGCTTCTGACACTTTCACAGGGAGGTGACGACACCTTTGGGGACAAGGATGGCTTTACAGAGCAGCTCCGGGCCCAGCTTGCCGCCGCCCTCCCCAAAATCAACGTAAAGCATCTCGTGTACCCAAAGTATGAGACGCGCGGAGATTTGGGAGACTGTGTCAGCCGTTTCCGCGACTGGTGAGTTCCCCCGCTTCGTATGATGCCAGGGTCGGCCACTGACACCCAGCCAGGCTCCTAGAAAAGGTCATCGACCTCGAGGTCGCAAACGCCACACCGTCGCCGACGGTCGACCCGTCCGTTAGGATCGTGCTGATCGGCCACTCCATGGGCGGCATCGTGGCCGCCGAGACCGTCGTCGGGCTCACCTCCGAGCACCCCATCTACTCCGAGGACGGCGTCGAGAAGTCGGACAACCCGTCCACCTTCAACGGGCTCATGTTCCCCTACGTCCAGGGCGTGCTCGCCTTCGACACCCCCTATCTCGGCATCTCGCCCGGCGTCGTCGCCCACGGCGCCGAGGGCCACTACAACACCGCCTCCGCCGCCATGACGCAGCTCAGCGGCCTCGGGACGGCCATCTGGGGCGCGAAGCAAGCCGCCTCTCCCGCGCAGAACAAAGCTCCCGTCGCGGCGCTTCCGGCACCGCCCGCCAAGAAGGAGCAGCAGCAGGCTGGCTGGGGATGGGGCAAGATTGCCATGGTGGCAGGTAGCGCCGCTGTTGCTGCGGCGAGCGCCGGGGCGGCGTATTACAACCGCGAGCAGATCACGCAGGGGTTGACTTGGGCGACGTCGCACCTCGAGTTTGTCGGATGTCTCGCCAAGGGCGCGGAGCTGCAGAAGAGGGTGCAGTACATGGTCAAGCTGAACCGGGAGCTCGGGGTCGGGTTTGCCAACCTGTACACCCGGCTGGGAAAGGCAGCGGGCAGCAAAGAGGTCAGTGTAGTCGGGACGGTGCTCGGCAAGGACCGCACGTTCTGCAACCTGCCAAAGAAGGGCCCTGCTGGGGTGTGGAATGAGGCTGTAAATGATATGGCTACCGACGAGACGTTGGCGCATATGAGTAAGTTGCCTGCTACCGACCGTGGAGCTGAGTACTGACACCGCCGCAGACATGTTTGAGGCGAAGCAGAACCCTGGGTACGAGAAGCTGAAGCAGGATGCGGCGTCGCTGATCGTGCAGTGGACAACGAATGACTGGTACGAGACCAGCGAGGAGCCGAAGCTGGCCATCACGGAAGCGGGAGAGAGTGCAACTGCCTGATGCACGAGAGGGTTTCCTTTTGATCTATATTATTACGAATGTTGCGCCTCCAGAGCAACGAAGGACGCGCTTTTAGATACCGGTTTTGTCTAAATCCATACCCACGTAGCCTCCAAATACCCACTTGTATTTTTAAACCTCGTCTTGCAATGCAATCACTGCGTCTTGGAGAGACCCAAGTCGTCGGCCTTCATCTGGCGCATGACCTTTCTCCTCTGCGCCATCATGTAGGTGTAGAGAATATAGGAGCCTGCCGTGTATTAGTATCGAGTCTTTGCATTTCTCTTGCGCAACCAACGTACCAGGAACGTAGATGGCCAAAACCATGTAGCCAATGGCCGGGAGCAACGGGTTGAGCTTCGCATAGGGGCCGGTCGAAAGGTAGATCAAGGCGCACTCGCTGGTGATGCCAATCGGGTACAGCACGAAGAAGGTGTTGTAGCGCAGCCAGACGAGGGGCTTGGGCTGGATACCGCTGAGGTTCAGGGCAAAGTATGAGTAGCGGATGACCTCGGTGACGCTCCAGGCGAGGAGCATGGACGAGTACCAGGTGCTGCGGGCGAGGTGGGGGAACGGGTAGACGATGCCCCAGACGAGAATGAAGCGGCTGAGGACCTGCATCACGGTCGTGAAGACGGGGGCGCGGACGACTCCTGTACATGATTCCCGTCAGTTCTTGAAGCAATTGGCTTGGGTCTTAGGGGTACGCACCAAGCAGGGCGTGAAGGACCTCCATGGCGGCCAGAGTCTGCGTCCAGCGTGTCCAATCGCCGACACCTAGGAAGACGAATTGAGGGCCGCGCATCATGAAGAGGGCGACCGTCCTGCCGAGGACGACGGACCAGGCGACGGTCGAGACGAAGTTGTAGAAGATGAGGTACGCATTCTTCGCGGGCGACGAGGGGCGCCTCTGGGGCTTCGTCGGGACTTGGTCGACCATGATTGCTTGCGGTTGGCAGCTGTGGTAGATTTGGGGTTTGTGTTCCGTGGTGATCGCAGGACTGCAGCTTTGGTGTTTTTTTTTTTTTTACTGCCAGCGGGATTGGAGAAGTTTGTTGAGGGAGGTTGAGCTGCAGCAAGGGTTTGGAGTTGGATCCTCTCCCATTCGCTCCCGTCCCACCCCTCCATCGGGGCCGAGGCTTCTTGGCTTCTCACCTGGAGCCGCTGTTTCTGCAGGGCGGCCCACTGTACAAGGTACGCCGTAATGCCCGGTTTGGAGATACAGGGGTCGAGCTCGCTGCATTGTTCATCCCTTCAGAGCGCTGACAGCTTGTGCTTGTCTGACCACCCTGGTCATGGGGACATAAGAGTGTCAAGATGTGAGGAGAGAAACAGCTGCGAGAATGTAATCGTAGACTTCGTTATCTATCAAGATACAGATGCATTTTAAACCCCTTGCTATGCTGGAAAGCAAACCCACACACTCATTAAGACAGGACATGGAAGAACATTGCCGACATGATGAACACCGGCACCCAGAAGACCAGGGCCCTGGACTGGGCGAGCAACAGACCAGGCGCCGTGCCGTTGTGCAACATGACGACTTGACCAAAGTCGTGCGCGGAGTCGATGCTGCAGACGACCTGGCACTGTCCATCTCCGTCGCGACGCGCCAGCTTGCCCCGGGGTCCGTGAGCGTGCTGCGAATCGGCGGCACCGCGCTTTGTGACGGTTGTGGGAGAGTCGGTGGTGTTGAAGACCAACTCGAGCCATTGCACCTGCAAGACGGCCGAATTGCCGACTTCCATCACGCCAGACCACGAACCGCCGTCGCTCCAGGAGTTGATCATAACACGGCTGGGATCGCGGGGAACCTGGAACTTGATGGTCGAGACCTTGTGACCGTCAACAAGCCAGACGCTCTGCTCTGAGTCCCAATCCAGGCGATGGATGGCCCAGTCGCGCCAAGAGACGGGCACCGTGCCGTTCTGGGTCGACTGGTCGATGGTGTTACCGCTGTCGTCAAACGAGGGCTGGTTCGTGTACTGGATCCTGTTGTCGGGGTCCTTGGTCAGGACCTCAATATCGGCCTCCTGAACATCGGCGTACTTTTCGGCTTCGCGGTAGGTGAACAGGGCCGTGCAGGCACCTGAGTCGCCAATGGTACGGGCAAACATGCGGACCGAGACGAAGTGGTAGCCCATCGAGACAGACTCCATCTCGGCAGAGGTCTGGAAGTCCTTGAGGCGCGCGGTGCGGAAGCTCATGTAGGTGTCCGACTGAGGGTTGGAGTCGGTGTTCTTCTCGATGTAGATGTTATTGGGAGAGTTGACCATGCTGATGGTGGCATCGTTGCCGCTCCTGCCCCTGTTGCCGCTGTTGTTCCAGCTCTGGATAGACCATATTGACGTCCATGCATCAGAGTTGAAGTAGTCTGATGTTACCGAGGCGTTGCCGCTGTCGTTGTAGCTGGTGATGATGTCAGGGACACCGGCGTACTGGCCGAGGTTGCGGAAGTCGTAGAACAGATGGTTGGTGAAGTAGCTCTCTGAGGTGTTGGTGAGGAAGCAGTTGCAGACATCGTCCGCCACGACGGGGTGGTCGTCAGCCACAGCCAGAGGCAGCAGGGCGAGGGCCAAGCCCAAAATAGATGAGCTCGTTGACGGCATGGTTGTGTTTGTCTGAGAGAGTGAGTGGCGTGCGGCTCTGTCGGGGACGGGATGAAAGAGAGAACGCGGGGATGGGATGATTTAAAAAGAAGAGGTGACAATCCATCGTTGTCTTGGCCTGGGATGGTGTTGCCGTAAACACATCCCCAAGCAACGGCGCACCGGAATGTGAGACGTGATCGTGCGTTGTTGTTTCCTTCCAAATGTCATCGAGCCACTAGCTGGCCAGACCATCGCCCCGGCCGAACAAAAGCACAGCAGATCGAGTGACCAACAGGCAGAGAGCTACTGGGGATCGCGCGAGATTCCTACGAAAACGGCGTCGGGAGCTCCTTGGCTAGCGGCCACTTGGTCGCCATGATTTGAAAACGCTGCAGAGAGTTCAGGCTTAGCGTCAAGAGTGAGCTGTTGCAGCGGCCAGCGCGACTGGGCAATGGCGATCCCGTCGTACCCGTTAGGGACCGGGCGGGAAGCTTGGAAGCAGCGGAGGGGAGAGGAACGGAGAAATGAGCCTTGACTAAGAGGAGAGCAATTTGGCACACCAAGCCAACCTAAACGGCCGGATGCGGTGTTTGTTGCTCAGTCGCTCTCTTAGCGTCGTCTCGTGGAGCTTTCCGTGTCGCTCCAGACTCCTAAGCGGCGGGTAACAGGGACGACGGCGGCACGGGTGTCATTGAGCTATTTGTGGGTTGTAACGGGAGGTCTGCGGTGGCATTTGGAGGCTGTGCGAAAGGAGGTCATGACCGTGGACTGCAACGCTATCTCTGAAGGGCCGATGTCCTTGTTGTGATGAGAGATTGATGAGAGATTGATGAGAGATGTAAATGAGAGGATCTGACGCTGCTAGCTCGCGAGAGGTCAGTGCGGTACGATGCTCATGGCCATGTGGAGGGGGGGGGGGGGGGGGCTTCGTCCAATTAGAAGGAAGGGTTGCACCCCTGTCAACTCTGCTCACGACTTACACCCGCTGCAGGGCTTAGAGCAGGCGATGGTGATTTTGTGGAGGGCAGTCAGTCAGTTTCGTTTTCTCCGTAATCATATTTTGAATTAGGGGTTAATCAAGGCGGGTAATGCTTTTCTATGAACTTCGATGCCCCTTAAGCGTCAACCTTAAGGGCTATGTAGCATCCACCTAGTCGGGGACATCAGCTAAGTTCATTCACCTGGACGCCTTTCAATATGGCAAGAACTTACAATAATTTCAAGTTGAGAGATCTTTGCAACAATTACGCTGCAATACTCCAACTGGGTGATAGTACCTACCAAGCGCGGAATTGAAGCAGCGCTCTAAGCGAACTGCGTTGCGTCGGTGATTTTGTCGTTGAAGCCAGATCAGACTGTGACAACCGGTGCATGGACATGGAATGTCAACGCTAGGAAGCGATCTTCGATGGTTCTTCCAAAGCTCTCTATGTTGGCTTCTCGCTGTGTCCCAACGGCGTTTCTTATCGTCCTCGAGAAGATTGGCCTCATCCCTTAAATTGTGAGGCAATGTAGCAATCCTGTCACGAGCCATGTCCCTCCTCACACGTTCCTGCCTCACCATCTCGAGGTTGAAGGCATCGTATGAAGTGACTGAAGTAGCCATCAGTTGGGATCATGGGTTGATTTTGGATATGACATACCATCTCGCAAGAAATTTCCTTCCAAAGTATCCATGTCAAAGCTGCCCTGTTCAGGGGCACGGATGCCACAGAGTCTGGAAGCTTCGTCGATCAAATCAATGTCGATGAACGACTCAGCGTGCTCCGCAAAAATGTTCCGTTCAAAGATGTAATCTTTGCTTAGGATGACATCCACAATCAGGTCATCCAGCACGTGGAAATCGCACCTCATGGCGTCGTCCCCTATGCGCCACGTTGCGTTCCTGACAACACCAGTAGTATATGTGGTCGTCCCGTCTGCAAGTTCGACTTCAGAGCAGTAGCCATTTCCAGAATTCACGGTGAGGCCATGGCGCTTGACATATTTCGATGAAACAAGCATGAGATCGGAGCCGGTATCGGCGAGTGCTGCTGTGGCCTGGTTGTTGAATGATCCGAGGATACGCTGTTCCTCGGTTCCGGTGAGCTTCAGTCGATGCGTCTTCGGACGAATAATTCTCTTGATGCGATCTCGAAATGTCGTGAGCGTCTTCGTCACACCAAGGAATGTGCGTCCCAGGACGAGGTCATTGATGCAATCGGGCAATATCCAGCAATGCAAGCTGTGTGGTGTTCGATCGCGAGAAAATTTCCAATGCAACTCAACCATTCCTGGCGATTCAACAGTCTTACCGTTTGCTAAAACGGCCAGTTTTCTTGTTCCAGAGATAGGGAGTAAGCCTAGCTTGGAAGCAAAATCGTCGGAGATGACGCAGTCATCGGCCCCGGTGTCCGGGCATGCTGTCGTGTGCATGTCATTGACTTCCCCTTCTACCACATAGTCCGTAGTTTCCGGTGAATACAACGACTCCCGTTGATAGCCTCCATACCATGACCCCGATTGAAGAGACGAATGTTGTCTAGGCACGCTAGCATGAGCTCGAGCATAGTCCGCCCGCTGCTGACGGGCTTCTTCATCAGCAAACAGCTGGTCTTCCATTTGAACTCGCCCTATGTCATGATTCAACGAATTGGTATACGGTGTGAATAATGTTTCCTTGTTGACTCGAGTACGAAGATAACCCGCCGTAAGCAAGGACTGTTCCAAAGCCGGGGCCAAAGCGATATGTAAAATATGTGTTCATGCTTGCCTAACAAACAAACGGCGTCTGCCTTACTTTGACGCGCCAGTCTGACTAAAACCGCCCTGGAAACGACACAAGTGCGAAAATACACGCTCATAGCCTCAAATTTTGCACTTTCAGGTGCCACATCAGCAAGACTTTTGAGGATAATTGGTTATCAGGCTGCATGTTGGGCAGGAATTGAGGTGAGATGGGTAATATTGCAAATGTATTGGCTACAATCGGTTTCGCAGCAACTCCCGGTTCCGACATCACCGGTCAGCTGCTTATGTATATGTAAGTCATGTTTACCGCTGTGGAGGCTTAGACGACCCCGAAATTCACCAATATTGAAGCTTTTTGCGTTATACCATTAGTTCACACACTGAGAAAAAATTCGGTGGCCCTCCCTTAATGAGAAGTGCCATGGCAGGCCAGAAAATTGGATATGCCGAAGTTGCGGACTGGATGGCACGGGATGTCGATGACGAGAGTCTTATTTACCGTCGCTTCGATGAACTCGGAGCACGAACTCTCCTTTATCTCCAGTCCGAGCTCATTAGCTCAGTGCACCAGCTCGCGGACTTTGACTGGGAAGATGTGATAGATGGGGACATGGATTGGGTCGATGCCATCAGCGATTGGGAGATATTGAATGAACTTGCTGCACCAAACCATCAGGAGCAAGAACGGGTGACAGAAATTGTCTACAGAACCAAAGCTAAGACTCGGATCGCATTGATCGAGAAGATACGTCAGAAGCTGGAGACATACCGTACGTTAACACCGGGTATTCTCGAACACAACTCAACCTTGGACAGGTAAAGCGCTACTGCTGCAGAGCGAGATTTCCAGACTTAGACGACCCAGTAAACGTTCACTGGCGTCATTTAGGGCATGGTTCACGAGCATACCCAAACTTGGCGGGAGATCCAAGTACTTTCTCGACAATGCGAACGATTTGGTCGCTTTGAACCCCACTCAAGAGACGGATTATTTGTCAGAATGCCTCAGAAGAATGTTGCCGACCCAAGTCAGTGTCTCATCTACGCAGTAAACTCACCTGTCGGTACCATTCTAGAAAGACGACCTATTTGAGGGGGTTCGAATAGGACGCTATAACGAGTCAACCGTATCCTCTGCAGTCGTCGTCATCAGTACCCTCATCGCAGCAATCCTTTTGATAGGGTCCATAACAGGACTGTACTTTGCCAAGAACGACACCGCAAAGCTTGGCCTCATCGCCTTTTTCACAGCTCTTTTCGCCCTGAGCGTCGGGCTGACGATGAACGCGCGGAGGTCGGAGATATTCGCAGGAACCGCAGCGTAAGTCAAGCCTCGTCACCACTTGAGAGATATCAAGCTAATGTACCCCCCTTAGATACGCCGCAGTGTTAGTAGTTTTCGTGAGTGGCGACCTCTCGAGTTCGCAAGAGTCATGAAAAGGGGTGAATTTTCGGCCAGCCTCAAAGCCTGAAAAAATGAAAAGCAGACAAGGTCAATAAATCAAAAAGATTTCCCACTACGAGATTCGAACTCGTGTCCCCGCGGTGAAAGCGCGATATGCTAAACCTCTGCACCAAATGGGAGGTTCTATTCACTGTTGAAAGGAACAGGAGGGACGACAGTCATGGAGCTTCCTGGGCGCGGAACGTGCGATTAGACCAGAGAGGTTGCGGTGAATTCGTTTTCATTCGTTTGCTTTCTGTCATGGATGCCTAGCCAGGCTGCACTTGCCCGAGACACCCTCACGTAACCCCCACGGTGAACTCCTCTAGCAGCGTCAACTCGTTAAACTCCTCAATGAGCCTGTCCACCCTCGCCGCTTCCCGATCCCTCACGGCCAGGTTGAGATCCGTGACGAACAACCCCGTCGGAGCTACCGACTGCCCGCTGCTCCTCTGACTATCCGTAGCTCGGAACTCCTGCCATATCGCATACCCCTCCGCGGCATTCAGCGTCCCCTTCTTGACCGCCATGCCCAGCAGGCCCTGCGCTATCACTCCGGCGACGGCGAAGGAACGGTAGAGACCCAGATAAGCATAGATGCATTTGAAAAAGTAGTGGCGTCCGTAGGGATCGCTTGCGTCGTTTGCCGCTGCGTTTGCCACGTGCATGAGGGCTATGTGCCAGAAGATGGAGTAGGTCCTTTGAGGTAATGTCATGTAGGTGTCCACCAGGCTTTTAAGCTGCTCGAGGGAAGCAGCAAATATGGACGGTACGGCTGGCGCAGACGGCGACCACGAGTTGATCGTGTGCTGCTGTTCGGTGGGGATGAACGGCCGGAAGAGGTAGAGGATCGTGCCGTGGAAGAGCATACTACAGACGGTGAGTCTTGGCTACGTGCGGCCTCAGCTACGGGATGACGTACTGGCAAACGAGCACATGGCCAGGGCTGTGCTCATTACGGGTTACACCTTCGGGCAGGTTGGCTGCCCATGACAGCAGTTTTTGGTATTTTTGCAGGGCGAACCCCTTGGCGGCCTTTCCAGGGCCGGTGTCATGCTGGTAGTACCACGTCAATCGTGATGAGATGACCCATAACTCGCAAAGAGCTGCGAATGTCGCTGCCCCTCGTGGTGGTTCGCTTCTCTTCCTACGAGAACCAGATTCGGGAGGACTCTCGCTTCTCGTACCAGCATGTACGATGGGATCCTTCCCAGGTATTGGAAGAGCTGGCGGATACTCGGTAGTAGCTGGCAGATAAAATTGCGAAGCCATGCTATTCCTATTATTAGGGACACTCTTGTCGCAAGGGTGGTCTTCTCCGAGACTCACCTCAGATTGCTGAAGACCCCCCAGGCGACCTGTGCTTTCGCCCTTGCGTCTTCCTCGGAGAGTTTGCCGAGGTCTTCGGTGGTGCAGGAATCAGGAGTGCCGAAGAGCTTCATGCGTTTTGCCATGGCTGCCGTGTCTTTGATGTACTGAACGTCGAGCTCGCCGTCGCCGTTGCAGCCCACAGACTGAATGAGGAAAGCCAGGGCGGCAACAGTCGTCAGGGAGTCTTCTCGATCTGCGCGCCATAACCTGTCTGCTTCTGCCTGGAATTCGTGACTCCAGCCAGAGGCGGCAGGGTCGTATGCCGCATAGGCTTGCTACTCAGGCGTCAGCTGTGGTTAGACTGGAAAGGGATGCCGAGACTAACGCAAGCAAAGGCGAGAAGGGCGCTGACGAGCAGCGGAGAGCAGAACTGGTATTCGTAGTGGGTGAGATCATGCACAAACAGTTCGGTGTCAAACAAGCCTAGGATGGCATGGTCCGTCTCGAGGTAAAGTGAGATGACATTCGCAGCAACATCGCTTGGTATGGACACGGCCGTCCAGTGTGTGATGTCGAGATCTTTCAGGCGCGAGTCGGTCTGAATTGGGGGAGGGCGGATAGACTCAACCGAGAAGACGCTGGACGTGCTCGACGGAAGGACCATGGACTCGTTGGAGGTTTCTCCCGATGAAGAACCGGCCACGGACACGTTGCTGAAGACCGTGCTCGGTTCAGGCGATGACGAGGCCGAATCAGATGCTTCAGTGATCCGACGCATTTTGGACGGTCTGGAGTCTGTGCTCTCTGGACTGGAGAACCGAGGGGCGTTTCCTGAAATAGGATACGCAGTCGGATAGTCTCTCGTGAGTTCAAACTCGACATTGGTGTGCAGCTGAGGCAGAAAGCGTCGAGGATCAAGGCCGGACGGTGTGATGGAGCGGAGAGGAGCGTTTGGGTCGACTGCGAACTTGAATTCCTTCACAGTCCTCGCCATGGCCTCTGGTGACATGTAGCTAAGCTGGGCCAACATTGACTCGAGAGCGTGGTTATTGCGCTTCTGGACCTCATTCTCGCGCTTGTTAGCTTCGTTCTCGGCTTTGAGAGCCTGGTTCTCGCGCTTGAGAGCCATTGCGGGCGTCTCCTTTTCGTCTACACTGACATAAGCGCATGCCACGTTCAGCTCGACACAGGATGAGCACGCAGGTCTCTTGCCATCGCACTGAAGGTAGATCTGTTAGTTGACTTGGAGAGGAAGACTACGGGGCGGCCCGGTGCTTACAGCTTTTTTCTTGGCACGACAGGCATTGCATGCAACTTTTGTCGCTGTGGCACGTTTCCGAGAGGGGGCAGGCGGTGGACGTGATAAAGCTGGGAGGGGGGTTTTTGGGGCAGGAAGCAATCGACGGAGACTCTGGTCAGGCATAATTCCGACTAGGTTTGCATCGATGCCCTCGGCTGGGTCAGGGAGTTGCTGCTTCAACAGCAGTGCTCGTACGACTGGGAAAGGGGTTCACGATGGAGCGAACTTGCCCAAGGTACCAGAACGGGCTTCAGTCGTCGTGATGGGGAAAAGAGGGGTATTTGGCATGAGGGGAGGCAGCATAATAACCGAGGGGGCGAGCAGAAACAAAGAGCACACGATCGTCCGTATACCGCGCAGGATAGAACCCGTGTCGATGAGCTCCAACTGACGCAGACATTGGCTGAGACGATCCAACGACGGCGAGGATTTGCGGCTCCCCGCGCAAGATCATCAGCGGTGGTGCGGACGATGCGGGTGATGGCGGAGATGAAGGGCGGGCAGAAAGAAGACGGTGAGACTAAGAGGGCGGCAGAGGCTCAACGGTTTGGGAGGGAGTGAGACGACGGCGTAGGAGATAACAGCAGGTCAATCGTCAAATAGAGAGGACGGCAACCATCAAGAGGAAGGAAAGGCAGAGGGAGAGGCAGAAGAAAGCTCTGTTCAGCTGGCTGGGCGCAGTGTGAGTGTGGTAGTAGTAGGGCAAACCAGAGTGACAGAGACAGACAGACAGATGAAGGAGAGAATCCGATCTGTCCCTGGAAAAGACCGGACGTAGCTCCGTCGACTTCCATCAGGTTCCGACCAGTGAGTGTGATTTTAATCTGCCCACCTCTGTCGTGCCCTCTTTCGAGTCCAGGCCGTACAGTGTTGCAGTCTGTCTCTACATTACCAGGTAGGCGGGCTCTGCGGGCAGCAAATCCATCCGTCAGACCCGACCCGACTAGTCGACAACTGCCCATCCCACTCCCGCCCGCCTTCCCTCGTCCACTTTCCGTAAGGTAGGTAGGTATTGCCACCAGCCAGAGAGAGGTCTAGCTAGGTCTGGGTCTGGCCAGCAGAGTGCGTGCCTGCAGCGGCTGTGTGGTCCATCGTCACTTTTGGACTAGGTTCTGACAAGAAAAGGACACTGACCCCACACGGTGCCACTAGATTCGCTGCGTCGGTCTCGGCACAGTGCGCACAGACAGTGCCAAAAGTGGTGCTGTGGTGGCCGTGTGCCCCCTACCTAACCCTGGCCATCCTTCACCTGGAGCCTTCCGGGCAGGTTGAGTGCCCTGGCTGGCTGGCCTGGAGGGGGCCTTGGGCCTTGGGCCTTCCCCTGTCCGCCCGCCCAGCCCGCCGTCAGTTCACAGGATTGCAACTGCGGAACCCCATGCGGCCCATCACCGGCGCGGCGTCTTCCTTGTATCCAAATTTCAGGTGATGCACTCATCCGAGCACTGGGTCTGCGCGACCTGCCAACCAACTTCAGTCTCTGCCTTGTCTTCTCCCACCACCCCCAGCACGCGCGCGCACTCTCCGATTCCGTTCGTCGACCTCTTCACCACCAAGCTATGAGGGTCCAGCCAGGTCGACAGACTCTTGTTACTCGGTGACAGACAACTGACTTACTTCGCGACGCACCATCGAATTAAACCCTGCATTCCATCTCCCTTTGAAACCATGGCGTCAGAGTCGCCGCGACCCGCCTCCCCCCGCGAGGCTGATCCCGAGCAGAGCACGCCTGCGGATGCCCCGGCCGACGACAAACGAAGCTCCTCTGCATCGCCAGACTATTCTCGCGATGGCGGCGACGACGACAAGGCTGCCGCCAGCTCCCCAGAGTCCGGCGAGGCCAGCGAGGGCGCGTCCCCCGCGACCGCCGACGACAAGGCCCCTGCCGGCGACGACGATGCGCCGCCTCTTCCCAACGAAGCCCCGCCGCTGCCCTCAGGGTCGCCTCCTGCCGCCGAAGACGATGGCTGGGACTTCCAGTGGGATCCCACCTCCAACGCGTACTTCTTCTTCAACCGCTTCACGGGCAAGACGCAGTGGGAGAACCCGCGCGTGCAAACCGGCGCCGCCGCGGCCTCATCCTCAACCGACGCGGGAGCAGCGCCCGGCACCACCGCGACCGCCGCGCCTCTTCCATCAGGCCCTCCGCCCCTACCGGCAAACGACCGACCCGCCGCGGGCGGCTACAATCCTGCCATCCACGGCGACTACGACCCGACCGCGTGGTACGCGCAGGGAGACAAGGCGAACGAGGACGAGGCACAGCAAACCGCCGCGCTCGCGGAACAAAACTACGGCGCGATGGCACAGTTCAACCGCTTCACCGGGCAGTTTCAGGCGGCGGGCGACGGGCCGGACCGGCACTCGGACGAGGCCAAGAGCAGG